GGATCCCTCATCCGTTCATCGATTGCACACCCCTCTGCAGTGCATACTGTAATCCATGAGGAAGGGGTTTCCATATTCGGCTGGTGGCCGAACGATCGGCTGCCTAGCCGAATTTGGGTTAGTAAAATTACGCTCTCATATTTACTGGATCCCTCATCCGTTCATCGATTGCACACCCCTCTGCAGTGCATACTGTAATCCATGAGGAAGGGGTTTCCATATTCGGCTGGTTGGCCGAACGATCGGCTGCCTAGCCGAATTTGGGTTAGTAAAATTACGCTCTCATATTTACTGGATCCCTCATCCGTTCATCGATTGCACACCCCTCTGCAGTGCATACTGTAATCCATGAGGAAGGGGTTTCCATATTCGGCTGGTTGGCCGAACGATCGGCTGCCTAGCCGAATTTGGGTTAGTAAAATTACGCTCTCATATTTACTGGATCCCTCATCCGTTCATCGATTGCACACCCCTCTGCAGTGCATACTGTAATCCATGAGGAAGGGGTTTCCATATTCGGCTGGCTAGCCGAATTTGGTTAGTAAAATTACGCTCTCATATTTACTGGATCCCTCATCCGTTCATCGATTGCACACCCCTCTGCAGTGCATACTGTAATCCATGAGGAAGGGGTTTCCATATTCGGCTGGCTAGCCGAATTTGGGTGAGTAAAATTACTAGGAAGGGTTTTCCAGGTTGCGAGGAAGTTACTAGGTTACGAGGAAGGGGTTTCCATATTCGGCTGGCTAGCCGAATTTGGGTTAGTAAAATTACTAGGAAGGGTTTTCCAGGTTACGAGGAAGTTACTAGGTTACGAGGAAGGGGTTTCCATATTCGGCTGGCTAGCCGAATTTGGGTTAGTAAAATTACTAGGAAGGGTTTTCCAGGTTACGAGGAAGTTACTTGATTACGAGGAAGGGGTTTCCATATTCGGCTGGCTAGCCGAATTTGGTTTAGTAAAATTACGCTCTCATATTTACTGGATCCCTCATCCGTTCATCGATTGCACACCCCTCTGCAGTGCATACTGTAATCCATGAGGAAGGGGTTTCCATATTCGGCTGGCTGGCCGAACGATCGGCTGGCTAGCCGAATTTGGGTTAGTAAAATTACGCTCTCATATTTACTGGATCCCTCATCTGTTGATCGATTGCGCACGCCCAGCGGTGCACTCTCCTCATACGAGAGGTTTAGGCATAAGAATGTGTAACTGATCGCGGTTGCGAAAACGATATTGGTTTCATTCGATCTTCGGCGCTAGGTTTTTTTCTTTAAAAAGGGTCGCGGTTATGAGTTGGTAATCAGTACTCATAGTTTAGGTCCCTTATGGTTCAATCTTGAAATTCACGCGAATCTGCTTACATTCCGTTTCCGTGGAATTCCACTTACGCCCTCGGATCTATCCACATTCTGCTTCTATACACCCTCAAGAGCAAAAAGGAGCCCCTCACACGAAGCTCATAGACATGGCCCACGATGATAAATAACATTAAGTTTATCTGGATTGATATATGGCGGATTTCGATGTTCTTTCTATGCCATTCATCGAATAAGGTGTATAGCTCATCGAATAACGTGTATAGCTTAGGAATCATGTAATGTCGCAGATATGTCACTAATATAGATTCATGATGTGGTGTCTACGCGCCGTCCTCAGATCTCACCTCGTGAAAGCAACCAATCCTCTCTCCTGTCATCAGCGGTAAATTGGTATCAGACTAGTCTGTGAGTGGAATAGTATTGTGATATGTTTCAACTAGTCGCCCATTTTGTTATTATGTAGCCCAAATCGCATTCAAATGGTTCTGTGCTGCTGCATAAGTTCAGAGTTCGTGGCGTATTCCACAAGCAAATTTGGTGCTGCTAAATGCTTAACCCTGCTAATGCTTTGTTATTCAACGAGTCAGCTATACCTCCTTCTCTTTCCATCCGATAGTTAATCACGAAACCCTCTGAATCAGTCCTGTATTCTTTCCTTTACTACAAATTTGAGCCATTTATTTAATTTCACCTATTTCTATCTGTCGGCGATGATCCAAGCCATTGGCTTCACAGCAAATTCAGGCGTAAGAGACGGTAGGCAGAAGCGGTACGCAATGGCACGGGCAGCGGTGGTGAGTAATGTAACATTACCTACTTCTTACAACAACTTTTTTCCTACAACTGCTTTTTCACTTTACTTTAGTTCAGTTTGCAGTTCTTCATGTTGTTCGCGTGGTGGCGCTCATGTCCTTGGGGTGGGGGGAAGGGGCACATCCACAACATGGCCGATTGAAGGTGAAATCAGGACTAAGCCCAAGAGGGAGAGCAACGGCATAAACGGCCACACACATTGCTTGCATCTCCCACAGAATCCTTTCCCAGCCTGAGGCTTAGTCACAAGCACAATAATTCGCTCACTCGCTTGGATGTGCCCCCCCCATGGACATGAGTCCCCTCGTGGTTGTGCTCCTTCTCGTTCAGTATAATAAGGGAGCCCGACCAGTAATGGCGATCACGTGGTGCGACACTCGCTGCCCTCTACATAAATTCTATTTTTCATAAGGAAGAAAATCCCCATAGTGGAGGGACCATTTCGTTTCTGCTTTTACCCTTACCCTGGAGCATCTGTATCAGTTGGAAGGAGGGCTGTATCCTATCCCTTCTGAGGCTAGGGGAACAAAAGAGTCCGTTAAATTTATATTTTTAGCGACGCAATTCCCATACCTTCGGCACACGCTTACCTTTGCACAGAATGATTTTGTAGAAAGGCAAAGGAATTGAACAACATTGTGCGCCGTTTGCAGTCATTTTCATAGTCGAAAAACAAGTGTGTTATCACTGATAAACTGGTTGGTACTGTAAGCGAACGAAGGTGCAAGCGGGTGAGAGAACGCGAGAGAGTTATAAAATACACCAATTACTAGATAAATTACTAATTATGTTCATAGCAGTCAATAGTAAACTCCCTTAACCATTTATTCTTTTGTTCCCTTCATGGGCGGACTCCCCTTAGAAGTAGCCGTCTGGCACGAGAGAGTATGTGGGGATGAGAGGCAGAGAGAGCGAGAGCATACGGTAGCTGACTCATCTGATGCTTCATACTTAAGGCTGGGATCGATGACCAAGAGAGAGATCTCCGGCGCCGCTCGACAGGACTTCGACCGTTCGCCTCAGCTGAGCCACCTCGTCTCCCTTCCGCTGTCACCTCTGGGCCCGACGCCTCCACTGATGACCACCGACTGGACGGATCATAAGTCAGCGCATCCTCATCTAAATCTGACTTTATTATTATTCTGTCTGACAGAAGTATTCCGGAGGTGTGATAGGACTCGCATGCCTTTTACTGGTAGCAGCGAGTCCGACACGGGAGGAGACGGGTGAGTCTTTCACTTTCTTCGGCTCTGCTGAGCCTGCACGGTGCAATGAACTTGATCAACTCATTTTGCCGGGCAGCTCAGCACTTGCTGAGAGGCCAGGTCTGGAGTCCGGTTATGAGCTCTTTTTCGATTCTTTTCATACTGTTCTATGAAAAAGGGGTTTCCTTTCCCCCTCTTTTGCACCTGATTTTTTTTCTCACTTTTGGCCTTCACTTCCTAGGTTGGCCTGGGAGAACTCTGCGGAAATTCAATGCGCACGGTACGGGGGAGTCATGACCCAATCATATTTGACATATTCAAACTAGTTCTCGCTGCCCTTTTCTTCTTTTCCATTCAACTTCCTTTTTTTCTTTTCTTCGTAATATGATTTTCCTCAAGCTCTTAACTTTATTCCGTCCTCCTTCCTACATATTATGAATCAGTACCTTGTGACGTTTCGCATCCGATTGACGTTCCACAGAATTCTCTCTGGTTTTTCCTTCGCTTTGTGCACCAAATGGGTAGCAGCTGCTCTAGGGACGTTTTAACTTTTGCCACAGATGCTCATCGCTTTTGTCTGCTCCTTCGTTTTATGCTTACTTTTTGGTCTTCCTTTTAAGGAGCAGAGCAGCCACCTGCAGGTCCTTTCCGAAAAGGCGCTTAGCCACGAACCTTTTTGCTGTCCCTAACTCTTCCCTTTTCCTCTTTCTTTTGATGAAGCGCGCATTAAAATTTTTGTTTGTTTGAAAGTTTGCACCGGGGCCTGATGGCCTTACTCATGAACATGTGGAATTTCTTTGGCACTAGGTGAATTGGCCTACCGATGACAGTCAGCTAGCTATTCTTATGAGGAGCCATGTGCAGCTATATTATGCTACGTGTACTGGAAACATTTGCCCGCGGAGAAGACATGTTCTTTTGAGAAGTGCGTGAATTGTGACGCAAATTATTAATAGCAGTCAATGAGGTCCGGACCTACGAAGTTTGGCGAAGGGGTCACATTAAGAAACCCTACATTTGAACCGGTCCTTGCAGGTCAAGCGTTATTTGATGCTCCTCACCTTCACCGTCCATTTTTTATCTACGAGAATTCTTGCCCGCTCCTCTCTTCATTCTTTTGGTATATTGATACTATACTTATGCAGTTTATTCCGTGTGCCGTTTTTGTTTTCTAATGATTTCGGGGTGGTGGTCAGGTATCGATCACCTGCGGAGTGCTGTAGCACTTGGCGGAGTCCGTAGCGTGTACGGCGCAGGTAAACAGGGTCGCGGCGCCTAACGCGATCTGCCAACATGTAAGCCGATGCGACCGATACGATCGGGGATCGAGGGGTCACGGTTCATATACGCGATCACTTGCGATCACTTTTCTTTTCCTTCTCCGCGAAACTAACGTAATCTCTCCTTTTCTGACCTCACTGTGCTCCTCAGGGTACTGTACGCTCCGCCTCCTTTTCTCCCCTCCCTATAAAAGCCCACTCGGGATTAGTCATCACCCGTCAGTTCGTCTAATCGACCGTATCTGTACTCCGTTGTTATTCTGTGCGAATACCCACCACTCGTAGCCAATCTTCTAGCGCTGCTGTGGCGTCATCGCCGGGCGGTTTCACCACCATCCCTGTCCGGGGCTGTTGCTCTCATCAGGAGAATGTGAGTACAGATATGTCGGAGGTCGGAGCTGATGCTCCTAATCGTGAGTTCGAATCATCCTGGACGCCTACAGCGTCCTTAGATGTGTCCTTAGCCAGGTTGGACGACACGGCGGCTCTCCGTGCCAAAGATGCCAAGGTACTCCGGGATGCCACTTCGGCCGCCATCACCCAGGTATGGAAAGACGCTAGATTAGGTTCCACGGCATTAGCCCAGAAGATTAACGAGGGTAACACATCATTGTCTCGTAAGTTAACACATTGCGTACCGAGTGCATCACATGGTGATGCACGCAGTTACTTGCTCGCGTGGCCACGTGCATCACATGGTGATGCATCACATTCAAACCCAAATTTCTATCTTCTTTATGGAAGAATACTGGCCGAAATCTGCAAGCATATGTTTTCGAATATGCTGAATAACATATCTGCCTGGGACTTCACCAACTACGAAAATATGATTGGTTCAGACACCATTTTTTGAAAAACGACTTTCACAATAACAACTTTTATTGTAATGTTCTTCCCGTAGTCTTCTTGCAGTGATATTGATAACAATGATAGTAATCGTTCTAAAGACCCGGCCATGTACTTCGATGAAAATGAAAATTTTGAACTTCTTCAAAAGTTGAACAATTAGAGTGAACATAGTAGAGAGCCCGTAAACTTAGTGTGATGAAACTGATAACTCGTGAAACACATTGATAAGTGGGCATTTACACTGAAATTATACTAAGATAGAGACTAGCGCTTATACTAAGATTTCCGTACATTGCTCAGGATAAAAATGAATCAAAGACTTCCCTAGAAAGTGATAACCTAGCAGTCATGCTAAAGATCCCGTACATTCTTTGCGATGAAAGTGATGGCAGTCTATGCGATCATTCTAAAGTTCCCGTACACTTTTTGTGATACAATTGGTAACAATCCAGGCAGTAGTATTTACCACATTTAGAACATTTCGTGTTTTCTTGCAAGGTTTCGATCGGGCATAAGGGGCACCGTGTTCTTTCGATAACTTCTTGTAGCATTCCACGCATCGACTTCGGTGTTCTCGCTTAGGTTCAGGGGCTGTCCGCAGTTGATGTTTCGATGTTGCTTGCGTGGAGTCTGTCCGTCCAGTATCGACTCAATAATCCTCGATTTGACAAAGGTATCACAAAAGATGATGTTTGGAAGCAAGTGCACCTTTCACCCGATCGTAACCCTTTACATCAAGAAAGCTTCAGTTTGTAGAAATTTAGAGTCTAAATAGCATCACGCTAATAGCAAGAAGACTACAAGATCATTTGTATAAGGAATATCAAATAATTCTAAAGATGTGTAAACAACAAAATATTTCCTACCCTACGAATTACAGGCATTTATGTTATTCTCCATATTCGAAAACATGTGCTCTAAGATTTTAACTCCAACAAGAGGGAAATACAGGTTGTCTGGAAAAAAGACAGTCCCCTGTGGCCAAGTGCATCACGTGGTGATGCATGCCGCAAGCCGAAAAAAAATCGCTTGGCCACGCGCGCGGGAAAGCCGCAAATGGCGCCGGTACGCAACGTGTTAAATGAGTCGTTCTCTGCTGTGGGTAACCTGGAATTCCTTCCTTCAATAGCCTTGTTGGCCTGGAAACTCGGACTCCCAAGGTAGTTCCCTTCTCGGGATCGGCAGAGGAGGGCATGCAGTTCCCGGTTTGGCTGCGTCGACTTGATGATGTCATCCGCATGCGACTGTCCCAGCTCTCTAGTGAGCAGAAAGCTAACTTCCTGATAGGTCACCTAGATGGGGTTGCTAGGGAGAAAGTTGAGGAGCTCACCGAGGACGTTCGCAAGGACTTTGATCTCGTCGCCGCTCATCTTAGGAGCTTCTTCGAGAGTCTCCTGCAAAGGTACGTGGCCCGCCAGAAGCTGTCCTCCTGTAGACAGGAGCCAGCGGAGTCCTCTTCGGCATTTGCTAATAGGGTTCTCAACCTGGTAAGGGCCGCCACCGCGGGTCAAGACCCCAGTACGCAGAAGGAACGGGTGCTGGAGGAGTTCGTCTCTCGTCTTCGGGGGGAATTCCGGTATTTCGTCAAGCTAGACAACCCCTCCACTTTGGAGCAGGCTATCACAAAGGCACAGATAGTTGGGCAGTTGCTCTCTGAGGCTACCGCAGACCGTCTGATCCACCCAGGTCGCCCGGAGCCAGCCGTCAATGCAAGGGTGAGTGATCGGAACGATAACCCCAACGACACCAAGGTAACTTTTCAGATTACGGTCGCCGCCTTGCTAATAATCAACGTCGCCCTTTTCAGGCTCGCAACCTGCCGCAGACGACAACGCCAACAACCCCGGCTCGCCGTCTCGGTCCTAGTCGATGCTACAATTGCGGAAGCAGGACCCACCTCGCCTATCAGTGCTGTGCGCCGACGAACCTGACCAAGCAGGACAGGAAAAGGTGGGTTATTCCCGTTTCGAACCGTGGTCGTCTTTCTCAGCGCGGAGACGCGCGCCTCATGACCTGCGGGGTTCCTTCTTGTTCCTATCCCTCTACTGAGGATCCCGCATTAATTGCTGCTCAGCAGCAAATTGCTGACCTCACTCTTGTCGTAGACAAAACTAGGGCCGAGCTAGATCAGTTCAAGTCTAGGATACAGCACTTCTTAAGCGTAATGAGGAGCTCGCCAAATCAGCTTTTGAACGTAACTATGCTTCTTCTCCTTCTTCTTCTTCTTCGCCCTCTTCTCGGTCTGCATTGCCGGACGTCCGTACTTTATTCTTCACTTGTCTAGTTTTGCCTTGTATTACAAACGCGTCCGCTCCACGGACGCCTGGCTATGCCCATCCGAAAAGCCCACTAATCTTTTCTTTGGGCCATCCTCTTACAACTGTTCTTGGCTACTACCCAATACAACTAGGCACCTCCAGTCCATCTCCTTGCAAGTGTATAGGCCCAACACAAAGCGCTATTCAACCCCGGCGTCCCTTTGCAAAATTGTGCGCTACGCCGTTACCTATTCGGTCAGCTTTTTTGGGGCACGCTCGGGGAATCATGTAGAGACCTCACTTCCGGTGTCAGCAGAGCAGTGCAAACTCATGGCCTGTCACAAAAAGTGCGGGCATGGGACCCTGTCCCAGCAAGGTAGCGTTTGGCGTACTTCGAACGAGCTTTCTTTCGCTTTTCCGTCAGCTCCGTTCGGCTGCTGCTCTACCCATGAAGCAGTAGCACATAATTGCTACCTTCTGGATACAGTAGTCCATGCTCGCCATGGGGAAGAGTCTCCTGAATCGGCAGCCGGAGACATGAGATCCTGTTTGTACAAAGACGGCTCGTGCATCTTGTCTGACGGATCAGATTGTCATCTGATCTCCCGATTAGAAGGAGGAATGCCGTTTCATTTCTGTGGCCAAAATGAAGGGATGTCGCATGGGCAACGTCTGGATTAGCGAATCCAAAGAATTCGCCCTCTCCTGGTTCCCCCAGAGCCCCCTAATTCAGGATTGCTCCAAGGGCTTGACCGTCACTGATCAAGGGTATGCGATAGCAGTAGTTCGCCGCGTCCCTCGCTCATTAGATGTTGGTTTGGTCACTACTAACCAGTTGTCCGCTCAGCTGTTGGCCGTAGAAGGCTCTGTACAAGACGCCGTCACCGCTGTGTTCCTCCACGCGGTGCAGGCTCTTTGTGAACGCACCAACGTACTCGCCATAGCCCTGCATTCCGCTCTCCGTACCGACCCTACTCTCACCATGCAAACTCTCATCGGCCGCAGAGATCTGTCGGCCTCACACCTCGGTAACGGGTTCGTGCAATTCCGTCGCTGCGTAAAGGTACCAGCTTCGGCTATCGCTTTTCAGCCTTTCAACGGCTCCTGCTTTGCGTATCCCCGTGTTATTATTCAACTGCGTAGCGGGTCTTCATGGCACGCCTTCCTCAACCCCTTCTCAGGCGTAGTGGTCAGTTAGGCAGCCCGAGTCGACTGCGACGACGTAACACCTTTTGTTTTGTCGGCCAATTCCACCGTAGTGCAGTTCCCTCCCTTAAACGACGAGCTGTTCCCGCTTCCGTTACACCAGGTTAGGTCGCTCTCTTCCCCAGTGGCCCTGGATGCCCTCTCGTTGTCCCCCAAGCTAACCATTTTCCATAATCTCATCCTCACAAACTTCAGTGAGCTTGTTGCGGACTCCCAATTTCAAGAAATGTGGACGCTCAGGGACCAAGAAAAGCTTATGGACCACGTGGCGCAGGTGCATCACAACTCCCTAACCCAATTCAATGGGGCGGTCGACTCATCCGATAGGAGTTCCCTATTTTCATTGCTACCTTTCCCCATGCCTTCACCTTTCGACGTGTGGGTCTTTGTGTGTTGCCTAGTCGTTTCCGCAAAGACAGCTAGGTATATCCTTGAAACTTATATCGGTAGTAACTATCCGGGGCTGTTGCCCCTTCTCAAGAGAATGTATGCGCAGGCACTAGCTGCGGCCTTTGTGCCAGTCGTAATACCGGCCCCCGTCGCTACTGCCGCTGCTGACCCAGTCCACCAGGTCGTACCTCTCTAACCATTACGGCCGACAGACCTGGGCATTTCCAAAGTTAAGATTGACGTCCAAAACGTATGGCCCCCACGAGCCTCTACGATCCCAGTGCAGGTGCTGTCATTCCAACCAGGTCATAGGTTCTTTGTCACACATTCCCGTTCGCGTCAACGGATTGCGCCTCCTTGCCCTAATTGATACCGGCGCGGGTATTACAGTAGTCAGCAAATCCCTTCTTTCTCTTTTGGGCATCTTCGAGCTGGATGAATGCGTAGTCCAGTCCGCTATCGGCATGGCTGGCATACCGGTGCATTTCGTAGGAAGCGCAACAGTTACCCTTACAATCGGTAAGGAAAGGCTGAAGCAGAAGGTCCATTTCACGGAAGGCCAGTGCGTTCCCGCTCAGGCGGACTCACATGACCTCATTCTGGATAACGATGTTCTGTCGGCTCCCCCCTTGGTCGGTGGATTACGACAACCGCGTGTTCCACATGGGCTCGGACCAAGCTGAGACTTTAACCGGGGCTGTACCTATCCCTGCTGCGAGCGTCGAGGAGAAACCGCTGTTCGCGTTGCAGAGACCACCGTTCTTAGACCCAACTGTGAGACCTTAGTCCCATGTTACGTGGCTTATACAAAAACTGTCAACGATCAGGACGAAAGTACGAAGCTCTTTTTCCCCCCTAAACTCCGCGAGCCCGTTTGTATAGCCTTTCACGATAGTCCAGCCGCCGGCGGACACTTTAATAGGAAAAAGACCTTAGGCAAAATTGCTCGCAAATTTTTTTGGCTATCTATGAAAGAAGATATCTATCGTTTCGTGCGTTCCTGTGACGCCTGTCAAAGGAAGCGAGCCATCCGGCCAACCGCGAACAACTGATTCCTATTCATGCTAAAGCTATATTTCACAAAGTTTATTTGGATTTTAGTGGACCTTACCACACCTCTTCTTCCTCTAATAAATACATTATGTGTCTCATCGATCATTTTTCCAAATATGTTATCGCCTCTCCGCTTCCTGATTGTTCAGCTCCTACTGTAGCGCAGTCTCTCATGAATGATTGCATTCTCAAGTTTGGCGCAATGACCGAGTTGGTATCTGACAACGCATCATATCTTAAGGGTGAACTACTCACCGAATTGGGCAAGCTACTCCGTGTCCGATACTTCTGCACCCCATATCACCATGAGGGTAACGGGGTTTGCGAGTGAGTCTTTGCCACGTTTCAAACCATGCTACGTACTTACATCAATAACAACCAACTGGATTGGGACACCTTTTTACCGGCGTGCACCTTCTCGTACAATGCGAGCATCTACTCAAGTACAAATGAAACTCCATTTTTCCTTTTGTTCGATCGCGACCCGGTCTTCAATGTCGACCTCATGCTGCGCCATCAAGCCTTCCAGCACATCCCCACTGATGCCGACTCCAGTATTTATAAGGAGTCTCTAGTCTCTGCGCTACACTCCGCACGGGCATCTGCTGCCGTTTTCAACGCCAAGCAGAGTGCGCTCTTCAAAAGGCACTATGACAAAACGGGTTTACAACCACTTAAAATTTTAGTTGGGGACCGCGTTTTCCTCAGGGATTTCGCTCCTAAAATAGGGCTTTCGCCTAAACTATGTTTCCCCTGGTTGGGGCAGTTTTGCGTCATTTCTATAGATCATCCTCACCTCACTATTACCAGCGTGACTTCCCCACAAGCCCCGCCAAAAAGGGTCCATATGAACCAAGTCAAAAAATGCTTCGCCATCACGGGACCCGTATTTACTTCCCCATGGACCCCAGTTGAGGAGGATGACGCGCTTTCCCGTCACGGGGCTATCTCAACGCAAGTCACCGGTTACGACCACCAAGTTCCCCTACCATCCGCAGCCTCCCCGTCTGCCCCAGTATCTCACCCGTACCATACTCGTTTCCGCAAGAGAACTACCTCTATCTAGCGCTATATTTTCCTCTACGCGCCATGCTTTATAGAAATTCCGTATTTTCTCACTGTGTCTTCCTTCTATACAATCATCTTCCTGAGCGAATTTTGCCGTCCATGCTTTATTATTTTCTTCTTGTTCTTTATTTTTTTTTATTTTCTTCTTTACAGTATATTTTCTTTTGCGTCGACTACCTTTAGCGTGATCGCTGTGAATGTGAACATATTGCTCTTCGGTTGAGCCATTACGCCGCCTCCTTTTTATGGTTATGCCTTCCAGATAATTGGGTATTGCTATGGTTTTTTCTGTTCCCGACGAACAGCGCTCACGAGCTCAGACTCCCGTCTCTGCCCAGGGAAATGACCAACGAATTGAATCAGACCCAACAGGTACTGGGGCCATACTTCCTTTTCATACGGGTATCCCACAACTTGTTCTTTCAGGGTCCCCTTTGGCAGCTGAGGAAGCCGCACGCCAGATCACGGAGGATCCCACGATCTTCCCCGTGCATGGAGAGGATCCCACGATCTCCTCTTTCCTTTCTGACGTGTTGGCTACCTTCGACGAGGGTGAGCATATGGATCTTGAGGAGGCGAATCCAGCTCTACATCTAGCTGACCTTACGATCGCAGCAGAACCAGTTCCTGCTGTGGTCCAGCCGACGTCTACGGAATCTACTGCTGGAACGTCCTCGTCGCAGTATGTGGAGCCGAAGGTCGAGCATCCGCTCGACACGGCCTTGTCTGATCCCTTACCAGATGCTTCCGGAGTTGCTCCTTCACGTGAATCTATTGGGGCTGTTGCTCCTCAGCAAGAGTTTCCAGGAGCCGAAGCTCTCTTTTCTTCTGACGATAAGCCGTCAACCTCTCGATTTGAAGCTGGGGGCTTCTCTACTTTCTCCTATGCTTGCGTTGTCGCCCGGCAGCGGGCAGCTGCACGTGCGAAGGCAGCAGCGGAGCGAATCCAGCCGCTCTGTCGCATTTCCCACAGGGTGTATTCCGATAGCTGCCTGGTGAGGCCTCACACGGAATGCAAGGACGGTAACCCCTGGTGAACTACTCTGCGCCCTGACTTTAGCATTAGCACTAGCGGTCGACTCCTACATGACTTTAAAGTTGGGATACCCATGAAGTGAATTATCGCTAATCAACGTATCTCCGATCAATAAGGAATTTTCAAGTTACTCATCAAGTAGCGAACTTGGGTGAAACCATACGGAAACACGACACAAATAAAAGTAAGTTTTATGAACTAATTGTAACTGTGGAGAAGTCAAGTCACATCAAGGTTAGTAAAAAACACTCACGTCGGGTCACCGCCATTGACCCGTCGAAGGACCGCCGGTGAACTAAACCCTTCACTGAAGAAATAGGTTCTAAAGGCTCGCTGCCCTGCGAGTCGGCTGCCGGATACGGGACGAAAAGACGATAAAACTGGGGAACCCGGGAGGGCCGTGATGGTGCCGTCAATATGGCTGCCGCACGATCACGGATAGGTCATGCTGGGTCATGGCAACACGAAGCTCGCAGGCGCCGGCACGTCCAGGGATTCCAGGGAGCGACGCGCGATTCGCGACACTCCCGCCAGCACAGAATCCCCTTTTGGACTTCGGCCGTAGGCCCCTGCCTAACGCCCTAGCACCGGCAGCTGCTGGAACCTGGGGCATAAAGCCACAAAGGAGAGTAAGGAATTTAGGGGTGGTCCTCCGACTGCGATCGTTTGGAAGAGATCCGCTAGCTTATCGTTTAAGTAAGTACTAACAAAACTTTGACTACTCTCCCTTAAGCATTAACCTGAACTAAAGACATGAAACAGCATTAATTGAAGAGGATAGTAAAAACGGAAACAATAACAAGACAATAACTAAACGTTAGTAACAACAGCGAAGGAAAAGCTGAACTAAAGAGAGGTAGAAAATTGTCAGGAAGGCACCGGCGAAAGCCTAGGACTGGAGCACGACGTGGCCTGAACTAAGAAACTCAGTAACAAGAAAAGAAACGGAACTGAAAAGGATAAACTCAGGGACAAAGCTCCTAGAGCGAAGCGGCGGCGTTTTTGACTGTCGTTAAGGCATACGACGTAGTTGTTCACTAAGCGAACATATCGCAACCTGAACTAAAGAGAATCGAAAACGGCATGACTTGATGAACAAAAAAGGTAAACTCAGAAGCCCCGGAGTGAAATGGTCGAATATCGGCCTGAAAGTGGACTTGGTGCATGGATATCAGATAAACGACTGCGATAAACGTTCTTCCTAAACAAACATTGTTGCTAACACCCATCTGATGCTTGCCTACTTACAGCATTATGCTCATCGACTGTCGTCATCCCAGTTCATGTCGCAACAAGCGAAGCGATAAATGAGCCGGTGAGCTTGTGATTGCGCAATTGATATACTGAACTATCAAGCCGTCACTACACATTATTGGATGGGGGGCAATAATAAACTATTGGACTAGCGCATGTTTGAATCATCTGAACTAACTTCTGGTTTATGTCACCATGATTAGTCATTCGTCAACCATTGGACTATGCACACGCTTGAACTATATGAACAAGTTGTGACTTGTTGCACCACGATTCGTCACTGTTCGCAGGAGAGAACCCGGTCTCATGGGCTTGCGCTGATGCGGGAGCCTCCGGAGACTATTCTCGATCAGCTGGCGGCTGGTGTGACGGTCCAGGACGGTCGGGACTCTACTCTACCATGCCCCGTTCGCGATAGGAACATTGGTAGGGGCGACGAGTTTGCGCTCCGCGTGGAGGAGCACGGTAGGTGCGAAACTTGAGATCATCATAGAACTCCTCTGGGTTAACGTTAAGGTCGAAGATAGAGAACGGGTTCTGCACGCAAAATGCTCTATGATGGCCATCCCCGTGGCAGATGCTGCAGGGATCTCTGCGGATACATATTCCAAAATGTTGTTTAAGGCAATTGCTGCACATCCCGAAGCTGGATGCCATGCTAGCTCTATCACTTAGGTATGGGTAAACGTTGCAGTCTGAACTATAATGACCGTGTCGTTTGCAAAACACACAAGGTTCAACTTTTCCATGAGCTTTTGATGGCACGGAACGTGAAGGGAATTTTGAACTAAAGCGGCGGTGAACAGATACAGGTTCCGCGAAACGCCTTGTTGCACTACGACCTTGAGAATAGCCGGATGGGCTTCGACACGACTTTGTTGGAGGAGATTCAAACTCCTGAACTGAACTATCGGCACCGCGTTTTCTCTTGCTCAATCTCGAGCCTTCTTCAGGGTTTACGGTAGAAGCGGACCGAGGTCCGGCCTCCCGGCGAGCAGGAGATGTGTTGCGCGATCAAATAAAGTTTGTGTGTGATGGTCGTTGCGGAACAGCGATTGCGGCCAGAGGACGTTGGGTCGTTGATGACGTTCTGCGTGATCCTGGGCCGCGTGTTTGTTCTTGGATACGTCTGTCTAGGGCAGATTCTTGAAGATACTCGTCGGTTGTTTTGATCATCAGTGCTTCAGAATAATTTTCACGCCACCATTGTAAGGTTTGAATATATGAAGTAGGGTCATCAGACCACTTAGCAGGCATATCTGTTTTTGAGCTAAACCTGTACACTTCATCTTCTTGCGTTACTAAAGTTTTCCTTCGGTTGAAATAGTGGACCATCTGGTGGGCCTCAAGTATTCTTATCATGCGTGTAGCATGTGCTATAACTGCCGAGCTAAGTTGGAGTATATCTGTAAGAGGTCTCCTCTGTCACATTGAAGAGCTGTAGCGTAGCTCTAAAGTAGTTTTGGTCGCGTGACCACTGAAACAGTCTTGGTAAGGTTAGTTCCTGGAGTATGTCTCTGTTTACTGTGATCGAGGTAATTCCATGCGTGAGCTCATGGATCCATCCCATAAGATGGGTGAATCTAAAGTCCATGGGCAGCCTTCTGACTAATATTACCGCCAAATTATGAAATGACTTGGTCGTTTGTTGAACTAACTCCAAAAGTGTTTGGAGTGTGTGGACTATTTTCGCCACGGCTTCGTAATCTGAGGGTCTTGTAGGTGTAGATTCTTTATCCGGTATTTGAATGTTGCGGACTCGGTCCCTCAAAAGATTGTTCTGAGTGATATAATCAAATACAGATCTAAACTGACGCGCGGTCAGCTCCTCTACTGTATATGGTTCGACATTCAGTGTACTATAAGGGGTAACTTCTGGTCTTCGCATGAAGGAAGTGGGGGCTGGGTTTGTTCTGAGGGGTCCGGGAGGATCTCTTGCTTCGGGTTGCCTTGTGAATTCATCCAGGAACGTTGTCACTGCTTCCATCCTTTGTTTTCGTCTTTTTAACACTTCCTCCTTTGTTTCGGTGATTTTACTTGTACTCGGTCCTTCATTTATTATCTCGTCCTTTGATGTTAAATGACTACGGTCTTGTTGGCCATTCTCAATTGCTGGTGCCCGCGTGTCCGGATTAGCCTCATGAGCTGAAGCCTGACCTTCTTGAGCCACGTCAGTGGTGTCCATTGCCTCTTGTTCCTTATCCGCATCTTTGCCGACACTTAGGGCCGCGATTCCGGATGCAATTTCTGCTTCAACCTTCCCCTGTTTCTTTTTGTCGTCCTTTGAGGTTGCAGCTGTGTATTGTGTTGAATCCTTTGCAGTTTCCGCCGTCATCTGTTCTGCCCATGAAGATTCCAGTTCGGGTTCAATGAACGGTGACGAACGAGATGAACTAAAATTGTCACGTGGCTGGGAAGGAGGGGATGTACTAGCAAAACGCAATTGCTGAGTCGGCCCGCGCTGAGCAGGAGGAGTAGATCTTACTGAACTATGAATTACGTGGGTACCTACCTCTGACTCTTTTTCTGCGAGTCCAACCACGATGCGCGTGGGGCGATCCCTTTTCAGGACTGCTACTGCGAGAAACCATAATCGCAAGAACACTAATTACCAAGCTCTGAAAAGAGGCAAAGCTAGATGGGGTCGCAAAGTTATTTAATCGTGCAAAGATCGCGTAATTGTTGAGTTTTCAATAATTGTGAAAGTGTTTTGGAGGAAAAAAACTGAAATAGTTGGTGAGAATTCAAAATATTGCATAAAAGGTGAATGCAGTACAGTGTCGAGTACGTTGTTAGGTTCTGAGAGTGTTATGTTAGGTTCTAGGTATAACGAAAATGAGTAACGCTAACAGCAGTGGAATAAAGATGAAGTATCTAAGATGATCGCATGTGGCTGATGCTTTAGATTGGTTGTTCCGAAAAGCAATGCTCATTCTGAACTAAGTTTAGAATTGCTTAAACGAATTATATCAAATTCCAAAAGGTGTAATTCCAAAATTTCGGAAGTTTGAGTTTTGAACTAAAGCACACTTGTACCACTCAGAGTTGTTGAAGAGTTAATGAAGAAAGGAAGTATGATGTATGCTGAACTATTATGTATGTTAGACGTAAAAGAGTACAGCTGCATGACACAACATAGCATAGGTGGTGAAATCGATTATTGATGACGTCACGCTCAAAATGAGAAATTATGATTTTCTCGACGAGAGTCACTTTTCGATTCAAAATGCGACTTATGAATGAAAAACAGGCTAACGTGAACTAAGAATGAATAAAATGTCGTAAAATGAGTGAAGAAATTGCACAAAGGCAAAAAAGGCTCTCATTAGAAAAGTGTCGCATTCCCGTGTGTTATTGGGGTTAACCCGAAACAGTGACATCGCCATAGTCCAGAATCGAATTTCACTGAATTGAGAAGTTTCGTACGTAGTTAAAGACTACTTAGAGAAAACCAATGTAATGCATTACACTAATGATGCTGAAATGAACGATTATCAATGGAAAAACATTGAAGATGCGAAAAAATGAGAATTTCGCATTTTGTTGTTACCGCGTGGTATACGGTATTTCGTCTCGGGACCTATCTCCGTTCCATCTAATGTCACCTTCAGCTGGTTCGCGTCTATGGCGGATAAGTATTGGTTAGAAGATATGCATTTTGTTCATATCATGTTTCATTCATGAATTAAGATTATGGAGTTACTAGTTAAGCAAATAAAAAGGAGGTGAGAAGGGGTTAGTTGGGGAGCTCGAAGGGACGTTGACTGAGTAAGACTGGAAACATAGTGTTAGTAATAGACTATCTTTTTGAATTTATCACCAATAGTGGGTTGCAAACATGAATGTTAGTTTCAATGAAATGAGAGGAGTTAAAAATGGAAGTGAGTTATCAAATTACTTCTCCTTTTTGCATTTCTCTCTGGTTGTATGCGTGTTGGGTGCACTTTTTTTTTCGATTGGATTACATTTTCTTCATCGGCGCGCATACTTCCAAGGGAATCAATTGATTGATTGATCGATCCAATGTTTTGTTATTACCTGTTTTTATTTTTACTGATCGGATCAATCCGTCAACTGATTTATTGATTTGTACTATGATTCCAAGAGGCCAGTGCGACCGTGAAATATTCTCCTGCTTGATGAGTACTACATCTCCCTTTTTTGGACTATCTTTCGCTCCTTGTTTGAAGGGAATCCTTGTTTGATTACGCTCTGCTAGGTTCTGTAGATAATCCTTTTGCCAATACTTCCAAAACATTTCCAATGTTTCTTGTAGTGCTGTATAAGAAGTTGTCAACTTCTCGTGTGAGTCCAAGGTGTTTATTAAGTTGTTCGTATTGCTTCTGTCTATATTACGGGGTGTGAAATATGGGTTGATGAGATCAATCGGCCGCAGTACAAATCCGTTTTCTGACTCATTTGTCAGTACTGGCGTGATAGGACGTGTGTTCAAGTTGATTCGATTTCTGAAATAAGAGTTTGTAAGGTCCATAGGTCAATGGTTTGCCTGTGTATGGTTTTCTTCAGAGCTGCTTTTACTGATCCTACTAGTCTCTCATAAAAGCCGCCTTTCCAGGGGGAAAGGGGTGTAATAAATTTCCAGTGGAGATTCTGTGAGGAAGTAAATTGTTGAACTACGGGGTGTTCCTTCAGTGCGTGTAGCTCGTTCACCAGAATTTCTTTCCTAGCTTGAAGGTGGGCGCGTTGTCGCTCAGAACTAGGTTCGGAGCTCCTCTACGTGCCATGAATCCTTCTGAAAGCTAGGAGGAATTGTGGTGCTGAGTTATCCGCTACGACTTCCAAGTGCAAGGCTCGCGTTGCCATGCACGTGAAGAGACACACCCATACTTTCTTGTCCTGGTTGAACTCTGAATGAACTACGAGTGGGCCGAAGTAATCAAGACCCGTGTTTTGGAATGGTCGACTGCGTATTACTCTCTGGGTAGATCTGGTATGCGCGGTAAAGGGTCTCCCTTGATGTCTTTTACAGACCACGCATTTCTCTATAATGGAATTTACTATTCTGCGGATCCTAGGAATAAGGTAGTGGTTCCTTAGGTCGGATATTAAGTGCGAAGCTCCAGCGTGGAACAGTTTCTGATGGTGATGTGAGATTATGAGTTTTGTTAGCTGGTGTTTTGGTAATAGCAGAATTTGAGATCTTGCTGTTTCAGCAATTTCTGCATTTGCCATCCTCAAACTCCCACGATAAATTCCATCCTCGTCCATCGTTGTTTGGATTCGTTGTACTACTCGACTGTGTAGCTGAAGAGCTCCCTCACGATAATGCTCCCGAAGCAAAAGGATCTCCGCTGCTTTCATGTCATTTGTAGTGACTACTCGAGTTGGTGACACCAAGTTAATGATCCTCTGGTTGGTGTCATACGATCGCACTCCTCTCCTGCTTCTAAGCCAGAGAGTGCCTATGTACTTTAGGAGATACGAGGTTATCCGAAGTAGTTTTGTATATGAATTAGTCCTATTGAATGGGATGAATGAACTATATAATTCTGATGTTGTTGCAGTTATGGATTTGAACTCCTGTTGCGCTTCTTTAGGGACAGTGATTTTGGTTCTGAAGTCCATATCTGTATAGGGCCAGTTGGTTGGTGACTTGAGGATGAAGCTTGGACCTTGCCACCACATATGGTTTGTCAGCTCAGGCGCTGGTAAACCACGTGTAGCGCAGTCGGCTGGATTATCTTCTGTACTAACATAGTTGAATTGATATGGTATTCCTGCTTCCGTTAGTTCATTCATCACATCTTTGATGGACTTGACCCTGTTGTCAACGAAGGTTTTTAACTGTTTATTGGAATGTATCCAGTAGAGAGCTATCTGCGAATCTGATAATATTCGAACTGAACTAAGAGAGATTCTAAGTTGTTTTCTAAGAAAACGAACTAGCTTTGTTGCTAGAACACAGCCTAGCAACTCTAGTCCTTGGAATTGAGATTTTCTTCATGGTTGCTAATTTAGCTTTTGCAAATACCAAGTTGCTGAATGATCTTGATCTCGTTGGTCGACATACTAGGTATGCAACTGCTGCATAAACTCTCTGTGATGCGTCCGAGAAAATTACTAAGTCATGCTTAGCTTTCCCTGTAGTAGTTATGACTCGCGGTATACTTCCGATATATCCTTTAATATCATTTGCGATACACTTCCATCTTTCTGCAGTAGTTTCGTCAGAAGGGGTCGTCCCATGCGAATTTATTGGCCCATAGGTCTTGTATGAATATTTTTGCTTTGATGAATAGTGGGGTTAGGAGGCCCAGTGGGTCGAATGTTGATGCAAATGCTTTCAGAGCAGTTCTCTTGTTTGTTACTTCCTTTGACATTGTTCTGATGGGTACACTTATTGTATCCATTTGAGTATTCCATCTAAGACCCAAAAGTTTTACTGTACTACTTGACGTTTTCATTCTGTCCTCTATTGGAATAGACTCCAGCACGTCGTTGTTATTGGACATGAATTCACGAAGATTCATGCCCATCTGGAGAACGTATCCTTGCATTTTATTCTTTTCGAATGCCTTCTTCGACCGTTTTGGCGCCATTAAAACGTTGTCGACGTAGGTATTGGCAAGGATTTCCTCTTGCAGCTGGTTATTTTCCATCCTTTCCAGTGCGTATTTTATGGACATGCTGAGTAGGAACGGTGAAGCATTGACGCCGAATGGAATACGAGTGAAACGAAGGATGCGTATATTACTTTTTGTGGGTCCTTTTGTGGTATCCTTCAGCCAAAGGAATCTCGTAGCATCCCTCTGATCCTCCTGTAGTCTGATTTGGTGGAATGCCTTTTCCACGTCTGCTATGATGAGTATGGTGTCAGCGTGCTCGTAGTAATGTGCCGCATAAGTCTGGCAATAGCGTTGGGCCTTGATGGACGCAATCGTTTAGGCTTGGGTACGCCTTTCATGTGGCTAGACGCGTCGAAAACGATACGTAATTTTGTAGTGGCGCTATCTTCCTTGAGAACGGCTTGATGGGGTATATAGTATACCCGTTTTCCTGTAGTAGAGTTTTTCTTTACATCCTCGATTATTCCTGACCTCAGTTGTTGTTCGAAAGTCTTGCAATATTCTTCCCATAACTTGGAGTTATGACGAAGTTTGTTGTATTGGTTTTCCAATCTTCGAACTGCAAGCGCTTTGTTGTCCGCAAGAGGTGGATGATCTGTCTTCCACGGGAATTGGACGTAGATAAGACCGTTCTTCGTTCGTACTGTGTCATAAAAGCGTTGTATTATGCTATCGTTCACGTTGTCCGCCTCATCTCTGGAAAACATGGACTCTAGCCCGAATAGACGTTGGACTAAGCGTTCCACTTCAGCAGCGTCTTGATGGTTTTCTGTTGGGTCTGTGTCTGAAACAGAATGGGTTCGGGATGAAGCGGGTGATGCGTTACCAGACAAAACGGGTCCGAGTTTTGTGTTGGATTGGACTAGTCCTGATGTTGTCGGTTGCATTTGTGATCGACTACATCCCAGTAGTAGTCCATTCCTATAAGGACGTCAACCTCTGTTCTTTCATTATGGCGTCGGCTATTGTCGAATTCGTCATTCCCATCTGTATGTGCGGATACTGTAGTAATTGTTTTCCGTGTCCACAGATGCAGTTTGGTTTTATAGCCTCTCGATTTGTCTTGGAGCACAATCTTGACGCGGTAAGACGTTTCGGTGTGTGAATAGGCCACCAAATGTTATGGCTGTAATATCGTGTGGATCTTTCTCCAAGCCTAAAGTTCTTGCCGTGTCTTCTTTTATGTAGCTGTGCTGTGAACCGCTGTCTAGAAGCACTGTTAAGATTTGCTTTATCTTTGTGTTCCTGTTGAGAGTTATTCACTACCATGAGACGTGGTGGATTGAACAGGGTTTCGCTGTTTTCATTTCTGGTACCTTTTCTTTTGTGTACTGCATTGGTTAGTGATGCTTCAGCCCTTGTTGTGTTGACGCAAAATACTTCATCGTCTATTTCATCAGAGAATCGGTCTGGTTCGTCCTCTGTTTTTGGGCTTGTTGGGACCTTCTCTTAGTGAGGAATGGATTTGTGTACGTATGAGTTCTCGGTGAATCTCTGAATCCTACTTTTGGGTGAGGCGATCCTTTTCGATATTGTTTGTGTTTCTTTACCGGTGATCGTCCTTTTGAATATGGACTCGGAGATCTTGAATTTGTTCTGAACTCGTTTCGTTCTGAATTCGTTGAATTTGTTTCTTGGATTTGCGTCTGACGAGGAGCTGTCTACTGACTTTTCCCTTCCATTCAGTCTTGTTCTTGGACTATTCGATCTGCTTGAGCTGTGAGAATAAGTCCCTTGAAGACATAGGGACCAGTGATGACTTCTCCCGCAAGTCCGACATGGGGGTGCGTCGCATCGCAGTCTTTGGTGTCCGGCCCTCAGACACTTCCAGCATAACTTCGATTGCACTACTATCTTCCTTCTTGCGTAGGGTGATACCACTTCGTCACAATATGCAGTTTTGTGCCTAGTTTGAAGGCAAAAGCTGCACCGTAGCTGTTTCTTTCCTGTCCGCTTTTCATTTGACAAGCTCCTTCTTTGTGATCCATCACTACGTGAGCTTGAGCTTCTTT